AATTATTAATCTCTTTTGTACAGAATTGTTGTTGATTTTCAATCGATTTAATGGCCAGAATCAATGTAAATAAATGTCAGTATGTTCCTTATACGTTTCCACATTTCTTGATCAATCAGCACCAAAGCACCAAACTTGACACAGTGATACAGGATGACATGAGGAAGGTCATTGGGGTTGAGGTTGGACCCACCCATCTAATTTCGGAAAAACTTCCGTTGTTTTATATCCCCCAGCATTAGAATGAACTATGTAACCAATATTGTTAGAATTCTTGAAAAGAGTATATCTTTCTTTTTACTACTGATACCTTTATGTATTTTTATCTATATAAATAAACGTCAATGTTTGTGTGTCTGCCTGTCTGTTCTTTATATGTTTCAACATTTCTTGATCAATCAGCACCAAACTTGACACTGTGATACAGGATGACATGAGGAAGGTCATGGGGGAGTTGAACCCTCCATCTAATTTCGGAAAAACTACCATTGTTGTATATCCCCCAGTATTAGAATAAACTATGTAACCAATATTGTTAGAATTCTTGAAAACAGTATGTCTTTCTTTTCAGGATTGGTACCTTTGTGTATTTTTATTGCACTTTTAATGTTCATTATATTAAGAAGAAGGGAAAAAATAGGAGTACAATTTTCTATCTGTTTTTGCAAACTAGTTTTTATATCACCCGCCCAGTTAGTTAGTCACTCATATAAAAGAAAATGACATTGTGTTTTCATATTTAATTTTTGTCTTTATTTTAAGAAACTCTTATGTCAACACCTTTTTTCAGTTTCACTTATATAACCTTTCTCACGGGATTGATATGATGTGATATAAACCCCTTGTTTTATATCTTCAAGCGTTGTTCTGTTTGAAGTTAGGCTATTTTTAATGGTGTTCAGATACTCGTCATCGTACTATGAATGTCAGTATGGATTATAATTATGCTAACCTTTTTAATTTGGACATGTTAATTTCGTATTTATGATAGGCATAATAAATTATGGTGTTAATTATAAATATATTGGCTCGTTTTAATTTAAACATGTTTTGCTAACTTACGGCATGGATACAGTTGAAGAACCCCCGTTTTTACCCCCCAAAGTTTTTGACTTGTCGACGCCTCCAGACGTCATCAGAAAATCGACAACTCCAAAGGTGTACATTAAGTCCTACGGCTTGTGCTCTAACAATCCACATTAATAATGACATTTAAATAGATCATAAAATGTTAAACTTATATTTGCAAAATGCTAATTTCTTTTCCCGTTGTTATAAGAAGAATAAGAACGGAACTGCAATAATATTCTTGCAAATCATTTACAGTTCTACTTACGTCCATTTAATGTTGGACATCATTCCTGAAAAGTAGTTCAACTGTATTATGTATAACATGCGTTGGACTTCGGTTTGTTTGTTTATTATGAATTTCGCGCAAAGCTACACGAGGGATATCTGCGCTAGCCATCCCTAATTTAACAGTGTAAGATTAGAGGGAAAGCAGCTAGTCATCACCATCCATCGCCAACTCTTGGGCTACTCTTTTACCAACGAATAGCGGGATTCCCCGTCACATTATAGCACCCCCACGGCTGGAAGGGCGAGCATGTTTGGTGTGAACCCGCAACCCGCAGATTGCGAGATGAGCGCCCTAACCACCTAGCCTTGCCGCGCCACCACTTCGGTGGCGTTCACGATATTCTTTTTAGTTAACGTGTGATCATATACTACGAAAGTTTGCTTTCTGCTTTGAAGAACAAACACCACTTGTTTAGCATCATATTGAAGGAATGAATGATTCATCCCGACACTGCTGTTGAGCATTAATTTACTGGATATTTTAGTAGCTCATGACGGAAGCCTTTGGCACTAGTTACGTTGGTTTTTCACGACCTTTCGACTTTTTTTGTGGTCGGTTTGCTTAAGGAAACGAAATCAAGATACAAAAGTGCACTATACAATCACTATGCCGTATATACGAATTGCACATTTCAGCACATTTGTCACGCTTGGGCAAAGTCGCCCCTGTTCTTTATAAGAATTGTGCCAAACTTTTTTTTTTTTCTAAATTAGACCAATTTGCATCAAAATGTATTTTATATCAGATTTTTTATCTTCACGCACTTGTTGAATTTTCATCAAAATATGATAACAATTACTTTAATTTACTTTTCTTTTATCAAACTTGTCAAATTCCTCTTTATGATACTTATTTATAATAATCATGTGCCCCCCCCCCCCCATATTTTCAATTGCACTAGAGGCTCGGAGCACCATGTAATTAAAAGCGTGAAACTCATAAATAATGGCCGACCTCTTAATTTATTGAGGCCAGTGGGTACTGTGTGAAAGAAGAGCGTACTTGTTCTAGTCACGACGAGCGAAACCAATGTTGTTGTTAGGCCTATTTCCCTATCTACCTTCCATTAGCATTAGGTAGATTTTACAACGTAGTAAAGGTCAATTTTTTGATAGGTATGAGTTTGGTTAAGTGGTAATGCTGATTATTTTTTGCTGTCTTTCAAAAATTTTAGTGCATGTAGTTTTATGTACTCGCCCCGAAGAAGCCGCAAAAGTGAAACGTTGTAAGATAAGAGTTCTCTTTTCAAGTTTTAATTATCTAGAGTGTAAAGGTCGTTTTTTTTTCTAACTTGTTTTTATCAGTAATGCTGACCAGTGTATACAATTAGAGATGTTTACCGGCCTGACTCCAACCTATTTAGGCTCAGGTGGAGTCTGAAGAGGGACAATCAAAGTTAACTTTGATTTTGGAAGCTGGACAAAGAGTCAAAATGAGGCAGACAGTTTTTGCATTTGACACAAAAGTAAAAACCTCAGATTAAAAAAAAAAGTGAGTGAAGAAGCTTCACAACCATGTACAATAGTTAATTTTTTTCCTTTATTTTCTTTTACGTATTTGTCAATTTTTACATCATTTTCAGAGGATAATTATCATTCGTTGTGCAGGAAAAAAAAAGATACAATTCACTTTTTAATTTTATACATACTTGCCAACATTTGGAAATAATTTAGCAGGTGACCGAGGACGACAGGGATGGGTGGGTAGGGAGGGATGATTTTTTTTATAGCTGTATATTTAAATATACGTGTGTATAATAAACTTTTTAGTTTGTTCTGCCTTATTTCAGCTTGATCGGAAAATGATTATAGTATATTTAACTTCATAATAGTAGTAGTCACGTAGATGAAATTGGGTTCCAGTTGTACAAATCAGTAAAGGATGAAACTTGAAGTAAAATAAACATGCAAAATAGGTTACCTCACCAGCTGTAATGCTGGTTTAAGCTGGACTATATTGAGAGTTTTCAACATAGTAAGCAGATGGGCCAATTTGACCTCTGTTATCCTGGTTAGGTTATTGGCAGCCATACTTGTGTATTTGTTTCATAACACTATACAGTGTCATTTAATGATGCAGCAGTTGTAACAAGTGGCTGTAATAAAACATCATTAGGTGATCAAAAATAATGATAATTTTATTTAAACATATTTATTCATATACTTAGACAAAAGTTTCATAGTGATTAAAAAATATATTAAAGAATTTGTCATTTTTGAAAGTAGCATTAATGTAATACTAATAGCCCTAATGCAATAGAGCAGTTAATTCCTTAATAAAAAATGCATGTTTTGCAGTAATGTTATTGAACTTTCTATTCAAAGCAGTATCTATAAAATCATTTCCAAATGAAGTAAATTCCAAAACACTGTGATATAGTCTTTCAGTAACATTTATTTTTAACAAACTTGTCAAATCCCCCTCTATGATGGTTATTTTCCTGGATACTGATAAAAGGTAATTAAAAATAAATTAGTGTTATGATAGATTTTAAAGAGTTTTTAATTCTCTAATTTTAAGATGTAAAAAACCACTAACAATCTTCTAAAAATTTAGAGCAAAAGGCAAAAATATCAAAATCAGGAATTACAAATTTTGATTTACTGTTTTTAACATTTGACAAATAACTAATGAAGATTTAAGAGGTATTCTTCATCTTAAGCAGTTGATAGATGAAATCAACATTGGACAATATGCATTAATTCTGAGTTTGTTTAGAAAAAATTGGGAAGTTTAAAAAATAAGACTCTTGTTTTGAAGGGGGTTAATGATTTTATGTGTGAGCTACTTGCTACTATTTTTTGTAAGTCCTTAAAAGTTTTGGAAAGACTGATAAAAGATACTCTTCAAAGTCATTTAGCAAAGTTTAGAATTTTACTGGATAGTCAACATGATTTCACTAAGGGAAAATCTTGCCTTACAAATCTTTTGGCATTCTTTGAAAAGATTACTGCTTATGTAGATGAGAGTAAGGGTGTAGATTTGGTGTATCTGGATTTTCAGAAAGCATTTTATAAGGTGTCACATAAAAGGCTTGTAAAAGTAAAAAAAATTATCTCTGTAGCTAATTGGATAGAAGAGTGGCTAGATGGAAGAAAGCAGAGAATTGTTTTAAGTGGAGTTCACAAGTGGGGTACCTCAGGGATCAGTCTACAGACCTTTGCTGTTTTTTATTCACATCAATGACATAGATGAAGTAATGGTCAATAAATTACTTCAATTTGCTGATAATATTAGGTCTTGGGTGTTGCTAGCTTTGAAGAGGATGCTGCTGCTTTACAAAAGGATTTAGATCATTTAGTGAGTTGGGCAAATAAATGGCAGATGGGTTTTAATTACAATAAATACAAAATAATGCATGTGGGTAATTGTAATTTGAAATATAACTTAAGTATAATTTTGGATGGGAATACCCTGAACAGTGTCATAAAAGAAAGGGATCTTGGTGTAATGGTTGATCAGTCTCTTAAGCTATCCAAACAATGTTCTGTTGCTAGTGGTAAGGTAAATAGGATTTTAGGCTGTATCTACAGAAATATTGAAAACCTAAAGAGTGATAAACTAAGTTATCAAAATAAATTGTATTTAAATTACTGGATCTTGAATGATTATTAAATATTTATTGTTTTGTTCATTTCAGTCAGTCTGACAGGACAACAAAAAGTGACTGTGTCAAATTTTGAGCTTTTGAAAGTGTTGGGAACAGGAGGTAAGATTAGATTTATTAGCAATAATTGTCATTTTCAGATAATGAATATATCAAAGAAAAAAGATCTGAGTAAAGAAATTTCATGCATTTTTTTATCAGTAGGTTTTCATTCCATTCAAACTCTAGCAGAAATATTACAAAGCTAGTAATCCTTATATAAAAGCATTCTACTGAGCAGTTTTCCATGAATGTTTGTCTGTATTTTTCATATTTGAAGCATTTGTTCAAAACTGTATATTTCAGATTCAGATTTCAAGAACACAGGTATTTTTTGGGGTGAAAAATTATACTTTTTCATATAAATATTTACACTTGACATTTAAGTGTTGTTAATGGTAAGTAATTTGTAATATATATATACTGAGTTGACTGTGCAGTATTTTTTTTTCTGGTTTTATTGTTGTTTGATTACTTTTGAAATGAATTATTTAATTAACTTAAATTTAGATATCATTTGCTTTGTGAGAAAATTAAGTAAAAGTGCAAGAAACAGCATATTATCACTACTTGTAAATTATACTGGGATATCAATTTTATTATCCATAATAGTTTAAACACATACAACTGTTTTTGTAATGGGATGACATTCCACAGAAATTATTCATTTTTCCTTCTATATTTACAAAATGTGTAAATTTATGATATGAATACTCTTTTTTTTTTTTTGTGTGTAGCCTGCATGGCCAGATGTTTTGGCCAGTTCATTTATGAATGGTATGGATTAATCATTAAGCCTCAATTTTTCTGTATTTGAAAATAATATTATGTAATAGTTATAACATATCTGGATAAAACAGTTGGAATATAAGTCATTTTTGGAAACTATTGAATGAATGAGAATAGATACTGGATAATACTGAAAAACATACTGAGGTATTGGCTTTTATAGTTTAAACATTTCACTGTGTAGGTTTAATGTTGGTCAATACAAAATTGTTTTATCTATCTCTGTATGAATCAAATGACCAGCTGGATTAGTGATTATTTTGAAATTAATATTCGAATCAAATGCAATTTGTGGAGTTATTTTGAATCCAAATTTAAGTCATACTATTTTAATAAAAACTCAATTATTATTTTAAATGAAGCAGTAAATTATCCCTTTTCCCCAAAATAAAATTTAACTTGTAATGTTAAGACTTACACAGTAATTACTTTTTCTGTGCTACATGAAAACAGGAAATTTTTCAAGTTAAAATTATTACCTATGGGAAGCCCCATACAAAAAAATTAAAGTTGCTTCCAGTCGCAGTTACTGTGTTTTTCAAGATGTGTCAAAGTGTAATTTACAAACATGAACCTTGTAATGGCATAGGCACTATATATGTTATTTTGATTTTTAGATAGACATACAAAGAGTTTTTAAACATACTTATATTAGTTAAGTTTGCATTATAGTTATATATACATACATATATTCTGTTCCAATTAATAATATAGTAAAACATTTATGTTGTGTAATGGTTTATTGCCTTTCAAATGATAACTGTAAATGTTATTTATTAATAAATGTATTTATAAAAGCAAAGGAATTACAACTTAAGTAATTAAATAAAAAGCAAAGTTGAAATTTGAAATCTCATCTTTCTTTAAAATATATTTGCCTTTTGGTCAAGTCATTTGATAATACAAACTTTAGTTTTGTTTTAAGTTAGTCATATTAGTTTTCCTAATATTATTCTGGTTGTAAAGTTTACTTCAAGGATTATTCATCAGTTATTAACATTTCTGTGGTGTAGCATATGGAAAGGTGTTTTTGGTGAAAAAGTTGGGAGGTCATGACCAAGGAAAACTCTATGCTATGAAAGTTTTGAAGAAAGCAAGTATAATTCAGAAACAAAAAACCATCGAGCACACACAAACAGAACGTCAAGTCCTAGAGTTAATTCGACAGTCACCTTTCTTGGTGACACTACACTATGCCTTCCAGACAGATGCTAAGCTGCATCTCATCTTAGGTGAGTGTGACTTACATTATTTTATAAACTAAACCGTAATGTATATTTTAGTGATTGATTGTAAATGTTATGACAGAATGACCCATAAAAAAACAAGTAAATTTAGTAATGTACATTTATATATTTTGTCTCATTTAGAAATGAGTTTTATGCACCGAATGTTCTATATTTTTTAGACTATGTAAGTGGAGGAGAACTTTTCACCCATTTGGCCCATCGTGGAAAATTCTCAGAAGCTGAAACTAGGTTTTATGTTGGAGAGGTTATCCTAGCTATAGAGCATCTTCATAAGGTAAGTGACTTTGTACTTTTGATGAGAAATACTAATTTTAATATATTACTTTATTCTAAAAATCCTTATATCTTCTGCCATAAATATGTAGAAGTATAAAAAAGCACACCTGTTAAATTGTGTTTCCTTTTGGCCATGAGCCAGGCTTTTGAATAATATGGAAGGGTGTAACAATGTCTTCCCTTCAGCTTTTTCACCTTAACATATAGCAACCAACAGATAGCTTAAAGTTGATACTAAATATTAAAATACTTTAATATAACAGTTAATTCTCTTCTTTTGATATTAAACATATGTCAGTGTGTAATAATGGGTTTTCTTCATAATCTCACACCAAAATCTTGATACTAAGCATACACAACAGCTTACTGCCAGAACTTAACACTAAATGTACACAACTACATCCAGACAAGTTTAACACAACATTTTTGACACTGAAAACTGCAACACTACCAAACCTTAATACTGAATACACACCTTAATACAACACCTTTACATCAAACATACATTAATTTAACAATGAGTTCCACTCACAACAGTACATATCTAAACCTTGACACTAAATATATGCTTATATAACAATGAACTCTATTCACAACAGCATATATTCTAAATCTTGACACTAAATATACATTAAACCTTGGCATTAAATATACATTACTGTAGCAATGAGTTCTTTTTGCAACAACATGCACCTAAACCTTGATGCTAAACATACATTAATGTAGCAAGGAGCTCCTTTCACAGCAGCAAACTTCTAAACCTTGATGATAAACATATTTTAATGTAACAGAACAGTGGGTTCCCTTCACAATAGAATGTATTCTAACTTTTAATTACTAATGTAGTCTTCTCTAACTGGTACCATGTTTAGTTGCTTCGCTTTGGAAACAATAAGACTAGCTTTCTGGTTCAACAGTTCTTCTGAATGATCAGAAAAGTTAATTCAAGTAAAAATAAGTAATTAGTGTTAAATAATATTGTGTTATTAATTTTTACCCTAATTCTGATTTATAAGTGACTCGCATATAATTGAAAAAAACTACACATCACCAACTTAATCTAGTTCACACCACAACGGTTGTTATTCATGCAGTTTGATAACATGAATAGTGTCTCAACCACTGCTGTGCCTGTATTTATATTGGCTGTCCTGATGGATACTGAGAATGGGTGAAAGGCCTCATCAACACCAATTGTAGCAGATATTATGTAGTTGACATATTGTTATATTTTCTTCTTCTTCTTTACTTTCATTCATAGGCTCTTAGAATTTCATACTAAACATATAATTGATACTTGGAACCTTCATTACTTGGTTAAACTCCATAATTACAGAATTGAAGAAAAAGCCAAAACAATTGTACATTTTCACAAAAACTTCATTTATTCATTTTTGATTCCAGGGCTTTCTTGGTTGAAGTTGAAATGTTTTTGGTCTTCAGTGAGATGTATTTTGGGAAGAGATTCCTCGTCACATGCTTGTTATTGAACCAAAGGTGAATAAATGAAGTTTCTTCTATTCCTATTAAACATACTTTTATGTAACAATGAGTTTCCTTACAACAACACACAGCCAAACTTGACACCCAACATACTTTAATGTAAGAATGAGTTATTTATTTCATAATAGCACATTGTCAACCTTCTCCTTTATGGCTTCAGGCCATGGAACAGGTAGTTCATCAAATACATTTGTCTCCTTCTCCACCAGTGCATGCATTTCTATCTCTTTTGGGGATGTGAGCATCCTTGGAATCACTCATTCCTTTAGATCACGCTCAGATGTGAATCTTTCACTGGTTATTACAGGACCAGTGAAACATTTCCATAGATGCACTGGATTGTCCGGTGGTCTTGTCAGCTTCCAGTTTGCAAGATCTTGGCTGGTGATTGGACAGGGACAACATGATAGTTGGTGTCCCTCTACTGCCTCCATATCCATAGATACATCTTTTCAGAGATGCTTCTCTCCAGGGCTTAGGTGCTTGTATAAAGTATTTGGAATTCAAAGGCCTTTGGACAGAAGAAGAATCTTCTCTCCACATCAGTTTATTAAAAATTTTAGCAGTTCAACGAGTGATGACTTATGACTTGTTGCAAGAGAAGGTGGTAATACTTCATTCGGACAATTCCACAGTTGTCTCGTACATTTCAAAGCAATGGAGCACTCACTCCAATCTTTTTGCTTTCAAACATTGGATCTGCTGTTTTGGGCACACAAACTTCAGATTATTCTCCTTGCTTGTCATGTTCCAGGGGTAGTGAATTTAATGGCCAACCAGTTATTTTGTCCCACCAGAGCTCTTCCCACAAAATGGATACTTCATCCTCAAGTTTTTCATTGGATCTGCTCTCGTCTCAGTCTCAGATCAATGCTTTTGCCACACACTGGAATGCTCTGCTCCTGCCCTTCTGGTCTCCTGCACCTCACTGCATAGATGCTCCAAGCCAGGATTGGATGGGTCTTCATTTTTGTGTGTTCCCTCCGATTTGTCTGTTATCCAAGGTTCTTGCATTGATTCACTGCATGTCCTGTCGAATTCTTCTGGTGGCACCACATTTGCCAGGACAATCTTGATTTCCACTACTCCAGTATCTTCGGGAGTCCCAACCTCTTCCCCTTCCTCTCTGGCCATCACTCTTATGTCAGCCTCAGTCAGACCTTCTTCATCTGGCAGTTGAAATTCTTTGACTTCAGTCCTCGCTTTTATGAGGTCCAGTGCATGACATCAGGGTTTGACTTCTTGGGTGGTATCCTTATTAACATTAACTTGGTCCATGTGGCATTCTTCTTTGGAAGTTATCAATGGAAATGGTTTACCTATCGTCAGTGGTCTCTCAGACATGGGTTTAACTCTTCTCATCCCACTGTGCCACATTTCTCTCAATTCCTGACATGGTTATTTGACATAGGTTTATCACCTTTATTTATTGCCTTGTATAAGTCTTCTTTATTGGCTTACTTTCGTTTTTCTAAGAGAAGAAAAGTGTTTGAGTCCCTAATTTTGTCACTGCTCCTGAAATCATTTTGGGTTATCTATCCTTGTTGTTCTTTCCAGGTTCCTAATTAAGATATCACAGTGGTTCTTTTGTTATTGGTTAGCAAGCATCAATGTTTGGATGTGTTTGTGCTTCATTTTCACAGGACTCTTTACATTCCACTTATTTTCTGTTATATCCAGACAGGTCTTTTCTACTCAAAACTTCAGCAGCTAGGGAAGGAGATAAGGCTTTCCCTCCTATTCATCTCCTCTCCATTTCACATTTATACGAGTTAGGATCCTTATCATCTTTTATGCCTAGTTCAGGCTCTCTGATGTTGCATAGCATACACTGAAATGTTTTGGGGCTTACATTACCATTTGTTTATACATTGGGATCCTACTGTGTCATGTGACTTATCCCCATTTATTTTGATAGGTTGGATTCGTCAGTTGGTTTGTATGGCTGACTCTGGACTTTCATTGGAGGAGCAGAGACTTCTTCAGGTCTCACCTCATCAAGTTTAACATATCTTGATGTCCCTGGCAGCTCGGTTGCATCACCCACTGAAGAAAATTGTACAGGCTGGTATGTGGACTATACCTAACACCTTTATATCACACTAATTACATGATTTAATGGTTTTCTCCTTGGATGGGTTTCAGCTACCCCCCATTAATGGCTATTCTTCATGCCCTGGCATGATTGTGACAGAGGTGAGTGTCTTCATCTATTCTGTGTTATTCTATTCCTTTTCAGGGATGCTCTTGTCATTATCATTTGGATCCCATTCAATGGCGAATGTTGCCTTGTCAGGTATGCTTCTCCAAATCTGCACTAGCTGCCAATAAACTATTAAATACAATTCCTGGTAGCAACAAGCTCTGTTGAGGTGGGGTTTTCCATAAGACCACATTGATGCTTTCCAGGTGGTATACAATTATTCAGTACCATACATTTATTGTATACAATACTGGACTGCCACTCGTGGACTGTCATTGGTAAAGCATAAAAGGATTTTGCCCATCCCTGCTTACCCCTGGATTGAATAAATCTGGTTTGGTTTGGTTTTCCAAATACAGAATGTGGTTCAGCTATTGTGCTATCTCTGGAGCATCATTCCTCGGGACTACCCAATGTGAATTCTCCCCTCATTACTTCATAGTGGAGCATTGGAGTTCTTACCACTCCCAGTTTTCAGTCACTGGTGTGGTGTAAAGAAGTCTATACCTCCTGGGTGATGTTTGAACACACTATCTCACTCAAGGAGAAGAGAGCAGAGCTGGATATCCTCTCATCCATAACTACAGGTTGAGTGAAGCATGAATGGTCCCGTAATTCCAAGTTTGGTTTGTTGCATTTGGTGCTTCTTCAGGTTGGGGTGAGAGTTTGTCCACTTTTGTGTTGCTTACCTTCAATTCATAATTCTGGTGGCTCAACATGCTACAACCTTCAGGTCAGGTTCCCTTAATACCATATTACTATAATACAGTTATATCACACTGTGGTCCCAATGGACTAGCCACTACACCTTGGATCCAGCTTTGAGTCCAAAGCCCTATAATTCCAATGATGAGACATGGGACCTCGTCTGCATGGTTGGGGCCTGGATGACACTTGTGAACAAGTATGATATTTCCAGACCAGATGCATCTGGTATTGCAGGAGGAATCAGTTTTGGAATAGATGTTGGAATGCATGTTTCTTATCAATATGTTAATGTTTCCACACTGTGACTGGTTGGCCTTTACCATCCATGTTTTAGATTTCACATTATTCGGGCAAAGAGCATATCTGTTTCAGAAGTAGTGTAGACCCCACTAATGTGCTATACTATATCTCAGTTTGCACACTTGTTGTCTACAGAGACACTTTATGTGTGGACCTTGCTCCCACCAGCCCCTCAACTGTGTCAATGTGGGATTCTAGCTAAAGTGTGATAATAGGTATGTGTGTTTTGAAAGTTTACATTTTCCTATACTGAAAATGTATTTCTGATAATGCTCACCTCTGCTCACACTATCCTGGCCTTCCTTCCAACAATGCCAGGTGTTCGGGTCTGATAATTTTGCTAGTATATAAAAAAAATGAATAAGAAGTAAATACAGGGAACTTGTATACGGATCTGGTACAGAGGGCGCATTGACATAGGTGGAGAGGGTCACAAGATTAGAATTGCTATGGTCGATATAGTGGGGTATAAAGACTGGAGCAAGCAAGGTTTAATTCAGACCAATGCTTAGATGGGCAGAGAAGAGAAACGTTTGTTGGGATAACGCTAAAGTGTGAGAGGAGGTAAGTATTATTGGAAATACATTTTTGGTATAGGAAAATGTAAACTTCTTTGTTGATATTCAATTTCAAGCTGCTTTATCATAAATTAGAGAGGAGCTCAAAAATAATTATAGATACATATAATTAAGGATTATAATAGAGGTATTTCCATTTGCAAAACATAGCTAGATTTTATGCTGTAGATAGCTTTAGCATAACAAATCTCTCTCAATAAAAATAGTGAAGTCTTCATGCTTTAAATATTTTGTTTTAACAAAGTATTTTTATTGTTTTCCACAGCACAAATCTAAAATTTAATCTTAAAAATACTTTAATACAACACATTAACAAAACAGCACACACATAATTATAAAAGTATTGATGCCACAGCTTCTAAATGAAAATCATATTCTCTTTTGAGACTTACAGCTATTTCTTTGTTATCTTGTACAGTTAGGGATCATTTACCGCGACATCAAACTGGAAAACATACTTCTTGATGCAGAGGGTCACGTTGTTTTGACAGATTTTGGAATGAGCAAGGAGTTCCTGCCATGTGAAAAGGTACTATAGATTGTATTTTTTACATTATTTGTTGAGTGTGACTTTATCAGAACCTGCCTAATACTCTTTAAAATTTTTAACAACGTACGTATATAAAGCATAGAGAACTTGTTAATTAATAGATGTGATTATTGAAGTTTTTTAGTAGTGATAAATATAATGTTATCATTAAATTCATACTTTAAAAGAATGTGATTTTTTTTTTATTGTTGACTTGTTTTTGTATTTAATACCAGGCTTGTAAACGAATATATTCATAAAATTGAAGTTGGGAATACTTCATGAGATACATATCTTGTAATAGTGGCAACTTAGAGAAATTTTATCCCAAAACATACTTACCTCTCTCACACTTACAGCTATTTCTCGACTGCCAGGGTTTCTTCCTTTGCCCATCTAAGCATTGGTCTGATTTTTTCTCGCTTGTTCCAGTCTTTTATACCCCACTTAATTTCCCAAGGCGATATTTGTCTCATGATACATTCCACCAACATCAATGTGCCATCCATCCTGGTACTGTATATGAGCACCTCAATCAGATAATGTTCTCACTATTTGTCAACAAAGTGTCAGTAACAGGTTTTCCAGAACTATGATTGTTCGGAGATACTTTGAACATTCTCTGTGTTACCTAGTTAATTTTTGTAAAAACAAAATCCAAAATTCCAGTTGGCAAGCCGATTTATGGTATGAATTCCAGGATTAATCTGGGGGAGGTACTCTTTGTTGAGAATGTCAGTGATCTTATTTGTAGTGAGATGGAGACATATATACAGTTCTGAGGTTGCAATTAAAGGTGAACCTGAACATACTGGAGAGAATATAGCTTCGTTTTTTCCTGCACCTTCTTTTAGTCCATTGGCTTTCCAGTCCCCCTAGTCCTGTGGGACAGTAGTGAGTTTATGGACTTGCAATGCTGGAATCCAGGGTTAGATTTCAATAGTGGGCACAAAGGATAGCCCAATGTTGCTTTACTCTAACAAAACAAACTTACCTGACCAAATGTTGTTCCAATCAACAGTAATCGACACAGTCTTTAAATGACATATAGAAACAAAAAGGAGGACACTTTGGGATAAGCTGCTTTTGACTTGTTTTCTTCAGTTGGTTCATCAAGAGTGTGATGTTTTGGGGCTTTCCCCAACTGCCTTTGAGCCTGCATCTTACTTGATGGCTGATAGGTCTGGGAGCGAATATTTAGTTTTCTCTCCATCCACAGACATTGTGGTTCATGCAGGGAGGTTTACTTCTCAGTTACATGAAGGAACAGTTATGCCTTATCTGACACAGTTGTCAGAACTTCGTGATTTATCCTACCATTGCAAGGTGGAAGCATTTTGTGACTCAAATAATACATCTGCTCCTCGAGTTTCGTGGCTCTAAGGTGGAGTTTGTAATTAACATGAGGGGACATTGATCTGTTCATGTTAATTACAAACTCCACCTTATTATTGGGACTTACAACTCTAAAACCCAACATTTTGTTTTCTTTCACTTCACTTTGTTGGAAGAATCTCAGGATTACAAACTTCACTGATGATGAGCTAGAACCATTGTTAGCATGCACATTGGTTCAATGGTCTGCTTCTACGTTCATCCCTGTTGTTTTTGTGTCTCAAATTTCATCAGGTCCTACAGGGGGTCATAATTCCGCCACTATTCATGGGTCCTGACCCCCGACATCAGCCCCTAGGTACATTGGTACCCAGAATAGATTCTGTCTATATTAAAGGGCTCCTCTGCTCTGTCTGATCACCACCAGCGGCATCAGTGATTATTGTATTCCCTTAGGGGCTCGGCTCTGAGAATTTCTGGATGTGTATTAACATTAACCATGGATCCAGGAGCACTGCAGGTCTTTGAATCAGGATTAGTCATTCAGTTCACATCTTCACCACTATTATCCACCCGACCTGTAGTGTTTCCATCTCCCGTAGATCCTTGGGACTTGGAACTTAGTTCTAGGACTATCATAGTTGTGCTGGGGGTAGTGAAAGAGTTGTGCTAGTTCTTCCGAGGTTTTATTCCCTTCGATTGTTGGGCCTAAGAAGACAGGAGATTAGTGTCCGGTCATCAGTCTTTTTCGTCTACATCAATGCCTAGATTCTTCAAGGTTCACAAGTTACTCATTTGTCAATCTGAGTTGACATTTTTTCACTGGAATTGTGGATGTCCAAGTTGATTGTAGTTGGCTCCTATCTGCACATTGCCATAATGGTGGCATCCCACCACTATTGGAATTTTTTGTGTACAAAGAGTCAGGTACTGCAGTTCCTGTTTTGTACCTTTGGGCTAGCATTGGCTTCACGTGGGTTCTGCTGAATCATACAAGTTGTTATTTCATCCCCTTCATTCCATAGCAATGTGCCCACACCATGCCATAGATGGCTGGTTACTGCTGGCACCATCTCATCAATTGTCGGAACATCACATCCTGATTCTACTTTCAGAAACAACCAAGGCAGGCTTCATTCTCAAGGCTGAGACATCTATTCTTGCTCCAGTTCAATATGTCATCAGTCTGGATATTTTTTGTGTTTCATCTCGTCTCTCAATCAGGCTCAGCTGACTCACATCTGGCTCCACGCTATGGAACAGGAAGCCAGACTTTTACTCACTTCTCCTTCTCCCACTACATGGATGGTTTTGGGAATATGGGCATCACTCGAATCCGTCATGCCTTTGGAATGAGAGCACAAGAGATCCTTTTAATGGTCTTTATGCAACCAAGGGGTCATAAACATTGATTCACTGGATTCCCCAGTTTCCTAAGTAAGAATCATTCTTCGATCTCGAGGGGTTAAGTCGGAACACTACTAAGATATGAGTTCTTCTACTGCCACCTCATCCAGGTTTCCATCTCTTCACAAATTCCTTGCTTCAGGGATGGGGTGCATATACCAACAGTTGGGAATTCCAGGTTCTACACATTGACAACAAGGCTTCCCTACAGAATGTTTTAGTCATTCTTGCTCTGCAAAAGGCAATGCCTCATGATCTGGGCTTATTAAGGGGAAAATCGTCAGGCCTCACTCTGACAATTCTATGGTGGTGTCTTGTGTTTCTCATAAAGGATGCACTTGGTCCAAGACTCTTGGACCACTTCTATCATATCACTCTCCTAGCTTGCCATGTTCCATGTGTGATGACTGCAGTAGCAGATAAATTGTCTCAACCCAAACAGATTTTCCTAACAGCATAGATGTTGTATTGCAATGTTCTATTGGATTAGCTCTGATTGGTGGGTTGGCCTCTTATTGGAACACCCAACTACTGGCAATTTGGTCTCCAGCACCTCACGGGATGGGATTACAACTCTAGGCCTTCCTCCCCAATTCATATGTTACCCAGGGTACTAAATATTACTTGTTCCTGTTTATAGCACCAGATTGGCAACTACACCCTGGTTTTTGCTTCTGTGGTACCTTCTTAGGCCATCTTTGTGGAGGCAGCCATGATCTGACATCGTACACCCAGCAATCCAAAAGCTGAAGCTTCAGGCATAGAGGTTATACAGTCTTTTGCACAGCATCAGGGTTTAATTTCTAAGGTTGCCATCTATCTCTCTTGGTCTTTGCTTAATCCCACGATGAATATTTTTCAACAGAAATGACATGCATATCGGCAATGATGTATTGAGAGGAGGTTGAACCCACTTTGATCATAAGTGCCAACCATAACTTATTCTTTGACCTGGCACTTTGGCAAGGGTTTTTGCATCTTCCACAATTGACCTGTATAAGGTGGCCTTATTGACTACTGTTGGATACTTGTGACAAAATATTCTTCAAGTCCCCAGTACTCTCCGGATACCTAAAGTCACTTTGGGTACTTGGTCCCAAACAACCATTCCAGTGACCTAACTGTTATATTAAGGTTACATTACACATGCCCTTTCTCAACATCTGTGTGTGACCTGATTCTCATATGCCATTTTTTACCTTTACATGAAGGTTTATTTTTCATTGCTGCTGACCTATAGACATCATTGGTCAGAGTGGTTTGCGCTGTATCTCCACAGACTGCCTTCTCATTCTATCTACGTCCTAATACTGGTTCTTCTTCCCCAAGACACTGTTAGACAGGGAAGGGGATAAGTCATTTTCACTGATTCATCTGATCACTATTTCTCACTTCTATGTCCGATCAGATTTCGATTGTTGTCATGTTCAGTGAGGGTTTTGAAGGTTTTTGTTGCCCACACTAATTCCTTTAGAGATGTTAGACTCTCTTTGAAGGTGAGGAATCTTGTGCAAGTCATGTCTAATCAGATTTTTCACATTTTTTTACCCTACATTTCTTTGCCTTTAGCAGCCTGGTTGAATTACCCTCTGGAGGACATTGTGTTTACTGGTATGTGGGCCTCCCCCAATACTTTAATCTCATATTATTTGCATGATCTGGCAATATCTTCATCTGAGGGTTTTCACCTACCCCCTATATCTACCTTAACCACTTCTGCTAGATTATTTTAATTGCTGCCTTTCAGGGTCCCTTACATTGTTTTCACTCTGTGGTGAGTGTTGCTCTGGCAGGTGTGCTTTTATGAAACTAATTCTGCACTTGCAATCACTAATTCAATATACTTTATACAAGTTGCAACAGACTCTTTAGAAATGAGTTGTTCCGCAAGACCACATAGAGGCAAACCAGGTGGTATTACCGTACTATGTTGGACCATCACTCATGAACTATCATGAGTAAAGCATAAGGGGATCCCGCCTGTCCCTGCTGATCATTGGATTGAATAAATCAGGGTCGGTTTGATTTTAGAAATTTAGGGAACTTGGTTCACCTATTGCACCATTTCCAGAGCACTGTTCCCCAGGGCAAAGTTGGGACCCTCCTACCCAGGTCCCTGGATATTTTTTCCCAGATGTCGATAAAAGAGGCACTAGCGTAAGTGGAAGCCTACTTGTAATACTCGGCTATCCGGTTGGGTTGAATGTGGCCCTTCTTTTTGATCACTATTGGTTCAGTACATTGTTCATGGAAGAGGGTCCATTGTCTCTACATAATCCAAATGCAGAGTGGTCCCATCCTGGGTCCTTGGTTGAGCACAGTTTGTTCTATGTCCTCCCGATAATTTCGGGGGCAAGTGGAATTTACCTTGTCCACACAGTTGGGGAGTGAGGATGAGTTATGTTTCCTCAGGTTGAGTAAGGCATACACGAACCCAACATTCCGAGTGTGGGGTGTTGCCTTTAAGACTTCTTCGGGTTGACGAGATTTGTCCACTTCCACTTTTGGAATGCATCACTCTATGGCTACAGGTTGGGATCCACTCCTATGTATATACATATATAGATTGCAGTCCAATTGCCCAAGCCACTAATGTGGGATATAGGGACCATGACCCTATAATTCCAACCCCGAGTAGTGGAACCTTAGCTAACTGGATGGGGCCTGGCCAATAGTGATGACAAATCATGTAAAATTCCACCTACAGTACATGAATTATGTTAAGGATGAAGAGCATACCCATTCTGGATGTAGTGCAGTTCCCCCACCAGGGTGCCAATCTTCTGTTGCCACACCTATGATCTATGCAGACACTTTTTGTATTGATAATGCCCTCACTGGCCCCTCTACCTTCTCAATGTGGGATTCTAGCTGTAAGTGAGAGAGGAGGTAAGTATGTTTTGGAAGTTAACATTTTCTTAAATCGAAAATGTATTTCCAATAATACTTGCTTCCTTTCACACTCTCCTGCCCTTCCTCCCCACTAAGAGCTGGTGTTAGAGATTGGGATTGAGTCAGCCTCGAAAAAGTGATAACATTATCTGAATGAGGTGCTTATATTAAGTACGAGGATGGATGGCATATTGACATAGGTAGAAAGTGTCATGAGACAAATATCATCAAAGACAATTAAGTGTGGTATAAAAGACTGAAGCAAGCAAGAAAAAATCAAAGCAATGCTTAAATGGGCAAAGGAAGAAGCCTAGCAGTCAAGTAATAGCTATAAGTGTGAGTGGAGTTAAGTATTATTGGAAATACATTTTCGAATTAAGAAAATGTTAACTTATAACTTAGTTCAACTCTTTTCTTTTGTTTATGATTAACTTTTTATTTTTTTAATTGCAATTATAATTTTATATAACTATTTCTATAAAACTATTATTTTTGCAAAGTTCCTTCTCACAAAGTAAAAACAAATAATATAGCAATGCATAAAAAATAGATTTAATGTGTATATAGCTTTCATTTATAGTAAAGAAATTTTTAGGGTTTGTTATAATCATAGTCTTTAACTATTCAGTCATTGTCAGGTGGATTGTAACTGAAATAATAAGATCTATATCAGCACAGTTATTGTAGACTTACTATCAAGTTCAACTTCTTTCACTTGTATTTTTCAGGTATTTCGATCATACTCTTGTTGTGGAACAATAGAATACATGGCACCAGAAATGGTCAGGAATAGTAATTCAGGACATGATTTTGTGAGTGTACAGATTTATTAATGTTTATCTTTATTAATATTTTCCCTCATAAAAAGAATGGAATGTTTTTTATTATTAATTTAGGCATACTTTATATTTTATACTTTATTTTATCATTTTCATTAACCCTCTGAATGCAGGTAAGTCAAAGTGCACATATTGTGACTATTTATAGTTATATTCAAAATTCAATTAAACTGTTTTGTTACTGATGTATATCAATAAACTTGGCATCAAAAGGTTGTTAATAAATCAAATTTTAATATTATATAAGATTTATTTTCGAAATGAAACATTTACATAAATCACAATCTTCACTTGTTTGTGGCATTTGCAACTTGTTTGTTCTAAATTTCCAGTTTTGTAGTTTCTCATCACCCCTATACGATGTTTTGAGTTAAACATAAATTACACATTTATAATAGATGTTACTAAGGCATAGTCTAATTCATAGCCTTCAACCTTTTTTTCTTTTAAACCAGAAAGTCAACCCATGTTCCACACCTTTCTGTCGTATCCAAGTCTTTTACAAAATATTAATAGTTCTCTCTGACATTTAATCTTGGGTTATTTTTTTACCAATAGAAAGGGAAGATTTTTATTTTCTGATTTTGATATAAGGCTAATTCATTCTAATGACAGTTTGAATTATTCAGCCTACAAATTCATTGTTACCATTGCCAAATTCACAACAGTCAAATAAGTGAATTATTTTAAGACTTGTATCTTGGTGGAAAGCCAGTGAAATTACAATAGTTATAGGATATTGTATGCTTTATGCATGTTATTATTCTGTGTCCTTAATTGCATATTTGAAATAAAGAAAAAATTATTATATGGATTACTACCATCGTCATAAAAATAGTAGGGTTAAGTATCATCAGGGACTGGAAGCAAAAAGCAAGAGGACAAATGTATGTACTAAATGTTTTTGTTTTTACTATATATTTTTTTTATTTTTATAACAGTAACCAACATACAAAAATTATATACTTATTAGTTTAGATAAGAAATCATAAATTAAAAATAAAGTTAAATGAAATATTTCTCAATGAGGTCTCCACACAAGTTGCATGTATATTATGTAATTCAATATTGTAACTGGAGCTATGATTTGCTGTGTTTTTTACAGCTTGTTACACAGGTTTAGTAGTTAGACATGGTTCAAAGAGGAATAAAACAACAAAATTAAATATAAACAGATATTAACTTGTATGATTCCGAGACTGTTTTGAATAAATAATTGCAATTTTCTGCAATCATTCTTGAAAGAAAAAAGGGTAATTTAGATTTATTTCGCTTTTGTTTTTTTCTGTGGTAGTTACAAGGTTGGTCAACTAAACTGGGTTTCTATAGTGTTAGGGTAGAGAAAATACAGATAAAATATAACATTTTACTAAAAGAAAAAACTTTTAATATTCATTTAGGGTGTTCTGGTGGTTATGGAAATGAAATTTGAAAGCTGTGAGATGAAAAGTATTTTTGATTTTAACATGAAAACCAACTTGCACTCAAACAAGTCAGAGTCTGAGTCTCATTCTGACTAAATTTACAGACAAATTTTTAGTAAAAATGCTATATGAAAATCTGATTTTTTATGTACAAAGACTTGTAATATGTTTTAAAAGCTTGCCAAATTCTTGAAGATACACTTACTATATTAAAAGTTATAATATGTATACTCTCATGGTTACTTGTTTGTTATGTGGTGGTTATGAGGTTGGTCAGAATGACTGAGCCCATATATGAATAGTTAATATAACCATTTGGAGGTTTAGTAATAATACTAGTTCTTCATTAATTCTTATGACAACAGGTTTATGTTGCCGCTTAGTAGATTTGTTCTGCTACTCATTGTGTATATGATTCCCACCATTTAACCCAATAAGAACAAAGGTGGTTAATTTAATTAACCTTGGAAATGTGAAACTATACATACCATAAATTTACTGTATCTTAAAAAAATCTGGCAAGCTTTTAATAAACATTAAAAGTCTGTTGCAGTGCCTTGAAGAAGTCTTCACCCCCCTGTGCTGGTAATAAATTTGGGTATTTTCTTGTGAAAGACTTAATTCAAATGGCCAAAAGTATTTATTATATTAATCTCACACCAGTTTCTAAAGATTACAAAGAACAAAAGGTACATTGTTACCCAATTTAGTAAAATAACACAAAAAATCTTGAAAACACGTTGCAAAAATCTTCACCACCACCCCTCAGCTTTTACCATCGTTGATTTAGCTTTATGTCACTATCCTGCTAAAGTAAATACAAGTGGTTCTGTACAACTCTATCAGATACCCAAGTATATTATAGAGCCTTGTGAAAAAATACTTTAGGTCATATAGAACCATCAGTATTGATTTAAGCAGAGTATTTCAAAAGTTAAAATTTGGTTTACTGTTACATATTGAGAATGATGAGAAAAGAACTCTAGAAACCTAAAGGAGAAGATTGTTCAGAAGCACAATTCAGGAGAAGTCAAAAAATCAATTTCAGAGGTTCTCAATTTGCCTTTAAGTACTGTAAAATCAGTTGAGAAGAAATGGAAAGTGTGTCACACTACCTCAACTTTGCCCAGATCAGGTCATCCTAAGAAAGTCTGTGCTCGAACAAGCAGAAAAATCGTCAGAAAAGTGACCGTCAAGCCAACAGTGACACTGAAAGAGCTGCAGACTTCAA